TTCCTCTTCCTTTGTTTCTCTGCCGAGTTAGATCAGAAGCGTCGATTACCTCTCACTCCTCACTCCCCCCCCTCCCCATCTCCTTTTCCATATTTCTATTCAATCATGGAATGGCACTTTCCCGATTTACAACACCGTAGTTATACCCCCCTTCCCTTTCCCTGATGATTGCTTTTGAATTAGACTACACTCCGCAATTAGGAACTACAATTTCCAGCTCACCTAAAAAATAGCATTTACACCATAATGTTCGCTATGCATGTACTTAGGTGCTTTTATGATGAGCCTGAAATTGCAGTTCCTAATTGCAAAATGTAGGCCAAATCGTGTCCATGCATCTTAAGATGCATGCAGACCATTTTTATCATTCATTTTTTGCAGGTAATGAGTGAAGAATCGCATGTCTCTTAAACAAAGAATGAACTACATAACTTCATCGTGTTTTGTATTTTTCATTTTATTTCAGATGTTCAAATCTTCTTTTCTTTTTTTTTTTTTTTTTTTTTTTTTTTTTTTTTTTTTTTTTGGGAGTTTTGTGGCTTCTATTCCTTTGTTCAAATTTTTTAGGATGTTCAAATCTTGAGTGGGTGAATGTTCATCCCTCCCGCGTGGATGTTGTCAAAGGAGGGGGGTGGTGGGAGATCGAAATGTGAGGATGGGGAACTGGGATTCAGGATTTAAGTGCATGGGGTTTGTTGGACAGTCGGATGGGCAGTTCATAGAGCAGTCTGTCGATCGCTTTTTCCCCGGAAAAGCTTTCGAGAGATCGTTCGATGTACTGCCCATCTGACGGTTTGACAAACAGTGAGTGCATGTGGTGAGTGTACGCGGTGAGTGCATGCGGTGAGTGCATGTGGTTTGTTGGACGGTCGGATGGGCAGTTCATCGAGCGGTCTGTCGATCGCTTTTTCCCCGGAAAAAGCTTTCGAGAGATCGTCCGATGTACTGCCCATCTGACAGTTTGACAAACCCCGAAGCCTCACCTGGCTCTCGCCGCACCAACAGGTTACGACGAGAAACTCCCATCATTATGTGGTTAGCAATGACTTCATTTTGACGGGAGTGCGCTTGTAACCTGTTAATGCGACGAGCGCTCTGAATGGTGGTAATCTGGCAGGCCGTTTTCGTTTATGCACCATCCACTCTGGGCGCACCTGCCGCCGAGTGGCAAAGTCTGCGGTTCGAACTCCCGCCGGCGCTGGCCTCCGGCCGTTGGGTTGGGCGCCATTGCTGTAATTTGCACGTCGCGGCGAAAAGGCCCTGGTTCTGTTCCGGGGGAGCCGGAACAGAACCTGGGTCAAACGGAACTTTTCTGGGGCCGAGTACACCTCTCACCCTTAACTAAGGCACCAAATTTTACTTTCAGAAAAACGCTGCATCCGACCTGCGTCCCATGGTTTAAAATGTCGCACCCGTGCTCTAGAGTAGGGATGGTCGAATATTTAGATAATCGAATATTCGATATTCGAATTATCGGTACCGAGATAATCGCATCACATTCGAATATTCGCTTCCGAAGTATTCGAAATCGCAAATTCGAATAATCGCATTCGAATTCGATAACCGTCCATCCCTATCGTCAATCTCGTCATTGATTAAATCTCGTCCACAACTTCACACGAAAATGACTGACCGTCTTAGTTAGAAGTATCATTTATCTCTCACGGTTCATATAAAATCAAAAATCGAAGCAATTGTCGAAAACATTCGAATATTCGCTTCCGTAGTATTCGCAATCGCAAGATTCGAATTCTCAAATAATTGCAAAAATCGCATTCGAAAAGTTTCGTATATTCGAATAATTGCATTCAAATTCGACATTCGGCCATCCCTACTCTAGAGAAAAGAAGCGAAAACTTACTTGAAAAACACTTGTGTCACGCGGTAGACTTACGCTTACAACTTCTCGCATATTCTGCTTTTAAACGCGGAATGCAAATGAGTCATAATTCGGATGCAGCCCTTGAGAAACGTTTTTTTCAAATTTTTTTTATTTAATTTGTCTCCTTGTACAGAGATTAATTTTTACATTATCGCATACACTATTTTCACTACTACTAATACTACTATGAATACTACTACTACTACTACGAATACTGCTACTACTTCTATCCTAACCCAGGGCCACCCGAATGGCGAAGGGGGAACGGGTCTCTTACATTGTGGCCCGGGGTCGAAGTGGCTCCAGTGGCTCTAAAATTTTTGAGGCACCGGAACAATTTATTCAGCTGTGTCTGGTCCTCATGAGTAAGCACAATTTTTTGAGAATCAATCAAGTTTGGGGTCCTTACTCGCAGTCTTAAATGGGCCCCTCTGGTCCACCTCTTCTCTCAATTCTTGTTAGCTATGTTTGGCAATCAGAGCTATCGAAAAGGTTTCATATAATTTACGTTGAGTCAGTTCAAAATTACATCAATTTTGAAAATTTCACCGGGGGAGTCCCTCCGTATCGAGTCGGTTCAATATTGCATCTATTTACCTTCAATTTTAAAAATTTACCGGGAGAGTCCCCCTGGACCTCTCCTTTCTCAGGAGGGAGTTTCCTTCCAGACCCCCAAATGGCCCGTCACTACAATTTGTTGCTTTTTACATTTTTTGCTTCTTGTACTCACTGTCCACCGAAGAGTCTCTTAGCGCTACGCATTTCGTGAACTCGTGTTCCTACTAGTTCAGATGGATATATATTTAACCTTGATTCTGTGAAAAATTTACATGAACTTATCGTTAGAACGAAGTTAACACATATCTCATGTAGGTAACATATTGACGACGGCGTAAGTCCGCGATCACATGTCTCGTTTGCGGTGTTCGAAAATCTCCACCT